GAAGAGAGAGAAGAGAGAGAGAGAGAGAGAGAGAGAGAGAGAGAGAGAGAGAAAGACAAAAAAAAAAAAAAAAAAAACAGAAAAGCTGACAAAACACACAGAGAGGGAAGAAGCAGACACCGAAGACAGACAACAGACCTCTAATGAGACAATAAACAAATAAAAACTCACGCCTCTCTCTCCCTCTCCCCTCTCCCTCTCCCCCTTCCCTCCCTTCGCCCCACACTCCTCGCACATACGCACGCCCTAAACACAAATGGCGACCTACAACGGGCGTGGGAACAAAACCACCGTTTGTCGTTCGTTCCACGCCCCTCGCCTTACAGGAGTTGAGGAAGAGAAGATTGGGCGTGGGGAGAGGGAAGGGGGAGAAGGAATGGAGGAGTGGGAAAGGGGAGAGTGGAAAGGGAAGGAGGGAGAAGGAAGAGAACGAGGAAGGAGAGTGACAGAAATGGGGAGAAAAGAAAAAGAAAAAGAAAAGGAGCGAGAGAGTGTGTGAGTGAGAGAGAGTAGAGGAGAGAGAGAGAGAGAGAGAGAGAGAGAGAGAGAGAGAGAGAGAGAGAGAGAGAGAGAGAGAGAGAAAGAGAAAGAGAGAGAGAGAGAGAGAAGAGAGAGAAGAGAGAGAGAGAGAGAGAGAGAGAGAGAGAGAGAGAGAGAGAGAGAGAGAGAGAGAAAAGAGAGAAAGAGAGAAAGAGAGAAAGAGAGAAAGAGAGAGAGAGAGAGAGAGAGAGAGAGAGAGAGAGAGAGAGAGAGAGAGAGAGAGAGAGAGAGAGAGAGAGAGAGAGAGAGAAGAGAGAGAGAGAGAGAGAGAGAGAGAGGGGGGGGGTGAATGACACATCAGTGTATCTTATATATCAATTTTACATGTCACTATAAAATATTCACTCCCAAACTAGGGCAAAACTTTCAAGGGCTTACGTGCGAGCGTGGGTGTGTGTGTGCGAGTGAGTGAGTGAGTATGCGTGAGTGACTGAGTTAGTGAATGAATCAGTGAGTTTGAGTGAGTAAGTGAGTGAGTGAGTGAGTAAATCAGTGAGTGAGTGAATGAACAAGTGCCTGAGTACATGCCTGAGTGCAGAGTGAATGAGTACGTACGAGTGAGTAAAAATAAGCAAGTAACCGAATAAGTGAATGAGTGAGTGCGTTAGTAGACGAGTGCGCGTACATCTCCCAGTGAGTGGCGTGAATGAGTGAGTGAGTGCCCGAGTATATAAATGAACAAGCAAATGAGTACGTGAGCGAGTGAGCGAGCGAGTATATGAGAGCGCGTACACCTTCCAGGGAGTGTCTGTGCTCTGGCGTCCTTCAAGCCCCCCCCCCCCCCTCTCCTGAAAAAAGCCACGAGGCAAGTAAAAGTGAAGATGGGTTCTCAACTCCCCCTTTTTATGGCTGCCATCTCCGTCAGGCAGCTACGAAATGGAGGAGGAGGGAGAGAAAAAAATGGGGGGGGGAGGTGGTGGAGGTGGAGGTGGTGGAGGAGAGGTGGAGGAGGAGGAGGAGGAGGAGGAGGAGGTGGAGGAGGAGGAGGTGAGGAGGAAGGAGGAGGAGGAGGAGAGGAGGAGGAGGAGGAGGAGAGGAGGAGGAGGAGGAAGGAGGAGGAAGAGGAGGGAGGAGGAGGAGGAGGAGGAGGAGGAGAGGGGAGAGGAGAAGGAGAAAGAGGAGGGGGACGGGGAGGAGGGTGAGGGGAAGGAGGAGAAGGAAAAGAAGGAGGGGGACGGAATATGATAAAAACAGACGGAAAACAAGGAAACGAAGAAGAAAAGGGGAAGAAGGGAAGAAGAGGGGAAAGGGAGAAGGAAGAAGAGGGAAAGGTGAAGGAGGCGTGTTGGCTGTGACCCTCACCTTAAAGGAACGACCCCTCCCCCCTCCCTCCGTCCCTTCGTCTCCACGCTCTGCTCTTCCTCTTTTCCTAAGCTTTTTCCTCCTCTTCCCTGTTCCCTTTTTCCTTTTCAATTATTTTCTCCTTCTCCGACCCCAGGCAGCGCGGGCGGCCCATCGCGGGCGTGTAGGAAGGGCGAGAGGAGGAGGCAAACAATCCCTAAACGGTCGAGAGGGCTGCCACGCCCGCGATCGCGCACGTGTTCTTGGGCGCGCGAGGGATACGTGGGCGAGGGCGTGCTGGGTCCGTGGGTGGTGATGAATAAGGATGATGATGATGATGATGATGATGATGATGATGATGATGATGATGATTATGATTGCTGCTGCTGCTGTGCTGATGATGATGATGATGATTGATGATGATGATGATGATGATGATGATGAATGATTGATGATAATGATGATGATGAAAGATGTGATGATGATGATGATGATGATGATGATGATGATGATGATGATGATGATGATGACGAGGACGAGGACGAGGAGGACGACGACGACGACGACGACGACGATGATGGCAATGACTACGAGCATTACAACAACCGTAACGACGACGACAAAAATAGGAAGATTAAATCACAATATACGCCAAAAAATAAGACGGCATGACAACCACCACATCAGCAACAGTAAAAAAAAAAAAAAAAAGAACAAAAAAAGGCGTAGGAGAGCGAGCGAGACCCCCCCCCCCCTCTGACCCCGTGACTCTCTCTCTCGTAACCAGTCCTCTCGTCACCCTCCTCCTCGGCCCCCGGGGGAACGAACACGGGCGCTCTCGGCCCCCCTCCCTCCCTCCCTCCCTCTCCATCTTCTTGCCCTTTTCACCTTCATCTCCCCACTCTTCATTTTCCCTTTTCTCGTCTCTTCTCTCTCTCTCTCTCCTTCTTTCTTATAGTTTCTGTTTTAACTTTACCTCTCCCTTTTCCTTCCCTGCCTTCTTCTCCTCCTTCTGCGTCTCCGTCTTTCTCGCCCCCCCCCCCCCCCTTTCATCATCTTGTCCTCCACCACCACCACCACACCACCTCCTGCTACTCCTAATCCTCCTCCTTCTCCTTCTCCACTCCTTCCTCTCCTCCTCCCTCCTTCCTCTCCTCCTTCCTTCTTCTCCACCT